AGGTGAGTAAAAACCATTGGATTTCGGCTGCCTCATCCGAACTGATAGATGCTAGAAGACTTATTCCGGCGAGCTCCGAATTCAATGAGGAGCAAAAGCTGCACAAAAGGAAACTTATGAAAAGTCTCCGCAAGGACCGTGAACAGTGGTGGGTGACAAAGGCGAAAGAGATGGAGAAAGCCTCGAGGATAGGCAACACCAGGCAACTATTTAGACTCATCACGGAAACGGGTGGGAGAGGACAAATCATTAGTGAAACAATCTCGGAGAAAAGTGGCACTATAATTAGCTTCCAGGATAGACGACTGGAACGCTGGAAAGAGCATTATGAGGAGCAGTTCAATTGGCTCATAGCCACGCTCAACCTTCCGAACATCCAACACCTCCCTGAATGGGATATAGACACAGGTCCTCCATCCCTAACTGAGGTTACTAAAGCTGTCACCAATCTGAAACTAGGCAAAGCAGTGGGACCTGATGGAATGACTCCAGAGGTATTTAAGTACATAGGCATTCCTACCGGCGTCCAACAGTCATTATATTTCTTGACCTAAAGGAGGCATTCGACTCTGTCGATCGAGAAGTTCTCTGGAGATGCTTGGCTGTAAAGGGAATCCCGAGAAAATATATTGCACTGATTAAGGCACTCTACTCGTACTCATACAGCCAGGTGAGGGCTTACGGCGAGCTGTCATCTGAACTGATGACGACCAGTGGTGTCCGTCAAGGATGCCCATTATCTACTTTTCTATTCAACTTCATCATAGATGTGTTAATGGACTTAACCCTAACTCACTTGAGCGACTCAGGGATTGACTTGCTACCAGGGAATAATCTCGTTGACTTAGAATATGCAGACGATATAGTCCTCCTAGGCGACGATTCTGACAAAATACGGTCTTCTAAACACCTTGAGCTGCAATCTGCGAATGTTTGGCATGTGATTCGCTCCCGCCAAATGCAAGATGATGTTACAGGACTGGACTACATCGACGCCTAGTTTAAAAATAGGAAGTGAAGTGGTAGAGCACGTTGACCGCTTCACTTATTTGGGAAGTACCATCAGCCCCAACGGACTGATCTCTGACGAAATCTCAGCACGAATAAAGGGGGCTTGTTTCGCATATGCCATTTTACGCCGACTCTGGCGTAGACTAGATGTTCGATTATCGACCAAAGGGCGGGTGTACTGCTCATCAGTCCGCTCCGTCCTCCTTTATGCCTGTGAGACCTGGCCACTGAGAGTGGAAGACATGAAAACACTGACTAGCTGTCTTTGATCATAGGTGCCTGCGCTCTATTTCCCGTATAAAGTGGCATAATAAGGTGAGCAACATTGAAGTTAGGCGTAGAGTTCTAGGTAAACAGGGGAAATCAATCGACGAAGTCGTGAAGTTACAAAGACTGAGATGGTTAGGACATGTGTTACGTATTCCAAGTCATCGCCTCCCTCGACAAGCAATGTTAGCGGATATAGGGTCAGGCTGGAAAAAAGCTATCGGCGGTCAAACAAAAACTTGGCACCAGTCAATGAAATCTACAACAGTTGGTCTAAGCCACGTAGAAAGGTGTAGACTTCCAGGCTGGGGTCCTCGGGACGGTAAAAATCTATGGTTGGAAACAATTGGTGACATGGCTCAAAATCGTTCTCAGTGGCTAGTGCAGATGCATCCACTCCTTGTGACTTATGATTTCCAATGAAACTGTTTTGTATTTCTTTATTATTCCTTTGTCTCACACCTCTGCTCACTGTTTCTATTATGCTTTTCTTGTACTTTCTTCTCTTGCTTCGCGTGCTACACGGAATGTGGCGACTTGAACCTCCGCACATTTGTGCAAAGTTCTATGTCGAAAACAGACAGACAGACAGACAGCTCCAAGTCTCCCCACATGCTTTCATCCCCTCCTCACATGACCTCCTCCAAGTCACCTTTGGACGACCAACTCCCTGCTTCCCTTTCGGGTTCCACTCGAGCGATGGCTTGTCTAGTGATGTCACTTGGTGGTTTACTCAGAGTATGGCCAATTCATCTCCATTTCTTCCTGCCCATTTGTTTCACAATCGGTTCCTGGTTGGTTTGCTCCCAGAGATCCCCCACTATTGCTGATCTTCTCTGGCAATTTGAGGATTGAGCGAAGGCAGCTGTTATTGAAGGTCTGTAGTTTGTTTGAGGTGCTCTTCATGGCGCGCCAAGTCTCTGATCTGTATAGTAAGTAGCACTGACTTCACATTGGAGTTAATCTTATTCTGATTCTCATGCTAAGTGCTGTTGACCTCCACACAGACTTGAGATTAATGAAAACTTGTCTTGCTTTTCCGATTCTTGCTTTGATATCCTCGTCAGTTCCATCTCCTGTAGTTGAAACGATGCTTTCCCAGGTAGGTAGGTAGGTAGGTAGGTAGGTAGGTAGGTAGGTAGGTAAATGTTGTTTCTTTCAGGTTCCTCCCATTTATGCTGGCTGATTGTTGTCTGTTGTTGTAACTGCTTTTATTGATCAAAGTTACTATTTTTCAAGGGGCGGGGGGAATATTGAAAGTAATAAAAGTTAGGGATGGGAAAACAAACCATCTGTTAAATAATTAAACTACACAAGAAACAGATGTATACAATGCCTATTTTAATGAGAACAAGTAGGCTAAGGAAGCGTTTCTGACAAGCGAACATCTCAAATATAGTTATTTTTAAAAAGTAGATTAGTACAGAATGTTCAGAATAAACGATTAAACGATTTGAAACCGTGTTACAAGGCTCAATAAAAAAATTTAAAGTGAAATTTAAGGTAAAATACTTTAAATTACAGTTTCTCAGTGGCAAATGTCTTTAAAGTGATCAATCACACCTCCGACTACAGTCACGTATGCTTTAAAACAGGTTCTTTATGTACCAAGATATGAGCCAAATTTTTGTATGACAGTGAATAATCCTAACTAGTCGAGCCGATTGAGATACGTGGAAGAGGAGAGGAATCTACTCGAATTTTGAAAATCTTGTTCACGTCAATGGTTCACATTTTTACGTACATACAATTATACAACGTCGAAATTATTGATCAATCTCTGTTCTAGTAATGTATTTTTTGACAATAGAGTGACTCAATTTAAACTGTTTTTCTTCCTCTTTGTTAATTCCCACAACAGAAATCAGCCAGTGGTCCAAAGAAAATGGTCTTACCTTAAACCCCTCCAAATGCCAATGTCAGTTTTACCTTTAGGCATAAATCTGACCTAAACAAACTGGTTAGCACTCACGAGGTGTACAACATAGATGGCACTAAAATAGAAACCAAGTCAGAAATTAAATACCTAGGCATCTTTCTATCTGCTGATCTCTCCTGGTCGTCTCATATCTTGATGATTTCTAAGAAGATATTCCGTCTTACCTTCTACATCAAGAAGTTAAGACATTCTGGAATAACCCAACCCTTACTCCTACAATTCGTTAACTCTTGCATTCTATTATTCTATATTGTTCCCTTAGTTTTGCAACGGCTACTGAAGAAAGACAATACCTCAATACGCAGGATGGTAAAGGTTGTCAGCAGGGTAAGCAATGTGCCACTTGACCAGCTTGTTAATATTCTGGTTGACAGGCACTTGGACTCATGTGAAAAATGGGCTGAATCCATTTTATCTAACTCACACCACTCACACTTCATTCACAACTCTCCCCTTGTATCTCATCAGGCAGGCAGACTAGATGACTATATAGAAAAATATACGCTCGCACTAGAAAGTACAAAAACCCAACCATACCCCACTTAGCTCGTGTTCTGTGCGATAAAGAAAGCATTAGACGTGATACCTATAACTTATTAAATAGTCAGTACAACAACTGGATCTTGTCTTTCCAACTCATTTCGTTTATGGGTACAACGTTTTCTTTCTTCTTTTTTGTTATTGTGTGCTGTTTTGCTTCTCTCTTCCTTACAAACTCTGGTAAAACATTCTTCTTCGTTTTCTCACACTCTGTATATCTCGACTTGCTACTGCTTACGCCAGTAAATATGCTAGTAGTATCTACTTTTCTAACACCTTCAAACATTCTGTTCACTTTTGGCTTTTCTACCGACATGCCAATATGTTGTTGTCAAAACGAACTGAGATTACCCTTAATCTATGTAGAACTTTATTTGTTGTTAATGTACAAACTGGATGCAATACTGTAGTAAAATGCCGAGAATTTCATTCTGTATCACAAGTACTTTTTTGGAATAAAGCAAATTATTATTAACAATGAAAATGTGCCAGATTGGATGGGTTTTAACATAGAACTTTGCACAGGAGTGTAGCCTTTTCAGTCACAGCTCGAATAGCTAACTCAGTGGCAACGTCTGTGACTGCAACACTCACTGAGTGACACCGGTTCGAATCTCAAAGGGGAAGTGAGTCTCTTCAAGGTTGCAGACACGCCTTACTGACTGGCGAGTACCAACTAGCACGAAACTTAGGTCAATAAAGGCTTCATGCCGATTAATTCCAACCCTCCAATATCAACAACTCACAGTGCATCGTGATGGCAAGTCACCTAGCATCATGATGACCACATTGCAAACTTGACTGGTAGAATTCAGTCTGTACCAAACAAAGCGCTAGACACACTACACTAGTTGCTAACTAGTGTACAAATAGAAGTACTAAACGGATCTCTGTGATTATAAAGAGTGAATGCATCTGTCGGCGCCGCTGAGAACAGTTGTGAGCCATGTCACTATCACACCGAGGATCTCAAACAAGCAGCCTACACGTCTCTATGTAACCGAAACTGTAGTTCGTTGACTAAGAAATTCAATTATCGCATCATACGATTCAGGGTTGCTCTACCAAGGTTTACACGACTCTTACAAAATACTTGACATGACCTAAAGAAAAAGTTTATGCTCCTTTTTGCTGTACTGTAGTAGTAAGTATACAGCGAGTGGTGAGCTACATGGACTAAAAAATAATAGCAAACTAAGAGTAAATACTTTGAAAATCATATTATAAAAAAAGGGGTACTTACTTTACACGCTTCGCATACATATGCACCATGATGAAATCCAGCGGCTAATTCACCGCATACTTGACATCTTTGACCCTCCATTCTATTCTGATATTGATAGAAAGCTGATTCAGGACTATTAAATCCTGGGAGTTGAACATCATTACAATGTAGAAAATTTTTTTGATCTAAATCATCATCAGTCACTAGATTCACGGCTTCATCATTACACGAGGCGATAGGCGTTGCTGTTAAAGCAGGATTAGATCCATTCATATTACCAGTACGATCATAAAATGTTGTATTATTCAATATATTTTTTAATCGATTTGGTGAAGGACTAGGCTGAGGTGTTCGATCAATGTTGTTGTTATTGTTATTACCAGTATTAGTATTATTATTACTATTATTTGAATGTTCTTTGAAACTGCTTTTTGATGATTCATATGCATCATATGGATAACATAATCGATGTGTTTTTGATAAAGGATTAAGACCAATAACAATTTTTGAATCAGATTGATCAGCTATAGAGAAATTAGTGCATGCTGCATGTCCATTAGGCGTGAAACGTTTCGCCAATGCATCACATGATGATGATGATGTATTTGGATAGAAACAAGTGAATTCCGGTGTAGAAGTAACAGTAGTCGGCGTAGCAGTACTACTACTGGTATTCAGTAGATGTTCATTTGAATTGAACGCGTTGATACGCCCTGCAGACGATAATGATGGTGAGGATGTATTAATGAAGGCAAGAGAATCGGCTGTAAAACCGGATGATGTATTAATAACCCCTGTATTATTATTGTTATTATTATCCGACTGACCCTGAGGTATGATATCCAACGGAGATATATTTGATAAACGGTTATTACATCCACGAATAGATAGATTATCAGAACGAAAAGAATTAATTAAATTAACCTGAGGTAGTGATAATTGCTCATGAGATGTATGCCCTGGATATCTTGTTGACTGAGATGATGAGACAGATTCCCCTGCATTATTATTGTTATTATTATGAGATTGTAACTGTAGAGTTACATTTGTATTATTAAATTCCTGATTTTCAATACCTTGTTCATCATCATCAATCATTTCATGCTCTTCATCAAATGATTCATATTTCCCTGAGAAAGCTTCTGATATCATCGGTTTATAATTATGTATTATTTCATAGGTAGATGAATTAGACATAGATGCAGATTGTCCAGAAGAATTACCACCACCACCACCAGTCGGAGATAAATCACTTTCTGCTTCACATTTAATTCTAAAACTTGGTAATAATAACAACTGCTGTGTTGATGAATTATTTTCACCGGGTGTTTCGTGTAACTGTCGATGCTGTTGTTGTTGTTGCTGCTGCTGATGTTGACTATGCCGATAAGGTGGATTTCTGCATTCTGAATCACTAGAAAGTTGAGTTTGTGTTATTGGATTAAAAATACTACTAGTATCATGGAGAGTAGATTTACGATACGATGAATAACAATTCCCATTAGAGGTTACCGAAGACAAAAGTCTTCCATTACCATTGGCATTATTATTATTATTATTGTGGTTATTCGATTCAACAATTGAAGAATTCGATTCATCAGTAGAACAACTATGCGGATCACTGATTATATTTGAGTGTGTAAGCTGTTGTGGTTGTTCATGTTCTTGTTGAAGATGAGTGATAATACTTAGACTCATTGACGAAGTAGAAATAGACGCGGATGAATTAGGCAAACATTGACTGTTATAACTGTTGTTGCTATTATTATTATTACTGTTATCAGACATTTATAACAATAGTAGGCGTAAAAGTAATGGTAATAATAATGATGATGATAATTGTAAAAATTATTCATATAATTTAAGATATTATGAATTTTTTTTTAAAACAGAACTCAAGGCATTTAAAATAGAATTACTTGTCTTGAAAACTTACATATATATGTAAGTGAATAATAAAACCATAGACCATAAAAGCCTTGTGATTTCGATTAAAACAATAGAAGTCGAGACGTCAACATGGTTTAAAAACAAGAGAAAAGAAAGGATTTGTAAAAAAAAAAACAACAACACCTTCAGTTACCTAAAATCGATTAACTGTAATCAATGCAAATTAATTAAATATACAAAAAAGCATAGAAAGCTAGAAGATCAGAAGGAGAGGAGCACCTAAAGCACCGGAAAACAATTGTAGATTGCATGCACTACTAGAATACCTGTTACATTACAATAAGTAAGAACACGTGATACACCCGGTGAAGATATTTTCTGTGAAAGAGAAAGTTAAAAAACAAAACAACATTTAGAAATCACTGTATATTACAAAGTATTCAGCACTAAACAGTGATAAAAACCAGCTTTCACTAAGGTTACGTCTATTCAGGTCTGAACTATTTAATATTTTAACGTGGTCAGCGATGTTTAAGTTTTCTTTTCACTCCAATTATTTCCATGTTGATAATCCCTAACAAGCTATGACGTTCATACAAAAACAAACTCCGTAGATTTATGACTGAAAGTCAACTGCGAACAACAACCCACTTGAGATTCTGAGAATGACTGCAACTATTTAACATTGAGTAACACAGACTTTAATAACCCAACCCCTACCGCCAACCGCTGACTGTGTAACTTATACACAAGTTTATTATTCTGAACTAAGATTCTATTTTGTGATACATTTGACACTGCCTAAAACGTCATCAAAAAGTGAATACAACGAACACGCCGCACTCCCCACCATTACATCTAAACTCTAGCAAATAAATAAATCTATAAACCTCAGACATTCATTTACTTTAGGCAACCATCCTATAGAAAATAATTTAGAAATACAGGAACCACATACTGACAATCGGGTGAAAATAAAGGATTTCTGGCTTTTAAATCACTGAGAAATAATCCAAAATATTTAAAAGCAATAATTTATGAAACGCGTAAAATGAAAAAATGGGAAGTTGGATATGCTAATTTTCTGTCTTTAATTCTGGAAAATAAGTTTCTAATGATAAGAACACAAGCTGAAAATACAATTGGGATTAAAAACTAGCGATAATTCTTTCGGTATCACAGTGAAAACATCCTGTCTGTATTTTCGTCATTAAATGAATTTATTGTTATCGACGTGAAGTCATTGGTAGTGAAGATTGAAATTAGTCGTGATTTATCGTAGGCAATATTTTAGCCCCATTTGCATTTCTCAAGCCCTCGGGGAACATACCTATTGCTAACCGCATACATTTTATTTATTCGCATTATTTCTCTATGTATCTAGGACTGCTTATCCCGATATCACTTCGAATGTTAATGTTACTGTAAAACATTTCGAATTTATTGGACATAGACATCTACCCGCCAAACCCTGTTCTTCAAACTTTAATATTTGACGAATGATAGGCGGTCAGAATATGAAGTTAAAGCTACCAATGTCAACCGAACCAGGGTGAAACTTTATGTCCAAGGCTCATTCGGTATAAAATTTCATCATCACATGTAGATACAATTATCAAATACCTGAACAATATCGGAAATTGAAATTAACCATGTTAAATTTTATTCAATAATGCGTCAAATATTCCATGCTTAATAGGAAATTTTCATAATAGCAGTGTGATTAACCACTCACGGTGTTCATGGAGTGTCTGTGCTCACAGAATTAAATATATTATGGCTTATGAGAGTTCGCAATACAATAAAGTAAGTATTAGAGAGGTAGAACTTCGTAATTAAAACCTAGATAATTATCTCAACGCTCAAGTGGAGTTATAATACTACTTTTTTGAACTCGATGAAAACCGAAAGGTTACTAAGTGTGACGCACTAAATTCTAGACATCTACTCAAATGAACTAATTTGAAGCGACAATAAAAAAGTGGTGAAAAACCAGGTATTATCTTGTGTATACAGGAAACAGCTGTATGGTCTGGTATAAGTTCTGCGGGTGTGACATTAGCGAACTCACTTCTGAAACTAAGAAAGACTGCTTATAAAATGTCAAGGTATCTATGAAATACACTCATCATAAAAACATAAGAAAGGTCAAACACAAAAAGAAGCCAAAACAACAACTCCTTACATGAACGCTATCACGAACCGGAAACTTTATACGAGGCGCCCTAATGTCCTAGGTCATAATTAAATATGACAGCGTAAAATAGCTTTATCTTGCATTCAACATCCAATGTGTATTCCGAAATCATTTTTTCCTCTCGGTTGAGAAACCGGATCAAGGATTTCCGGACAGTTTGTATGTTTGACTTCTGGGGTTTTGCGTTCCGTATTCATAGGAAACCTGCCAAAGTTTCTAATTTTTTGTTTGGACTGAGATAATAATAGATAGTACACTCTTGTGACTTTTGTTAATCCTTGAACACTCATTTCTTTAGGGATATCATTTCTACTAAAGTTCGTTCAGCGATAGAGCTGATATTACTTGATTGGGAAGGGTGTTCCAGTAATTTACCACCTAATGTGAGTCCAAATTTCATACGTATATAAGTTCCACCGCTGTTTGAGTACCTCTTTGTGATGACCTCGCAAAGGTATCCTGGAAGATAAAAAGAAGTCACCTTATAATATGCAGCTCTGGTTTGTGTGACATTAAATATAAATCCTCCATGAATTTCAAATTTCAAAGAATCTACTTGCCCGCCCAGGGTATTTCCATCTTCTCGCTATCTACAATCCGCATATGATGAAGTCCACTACATTGAGTAATATCATCACTGGTAATAAGTAACTTTGTCTTACCCCCGTCATCGTCTTCAAAAGATTCACTGAGTTTCCCATTGCGCATTACCTGACATCTGGTTTTGTCCTAAAGTAGCTGAGTGAGGTTGATAAGTAATTGTGGCATTGGAATCCGTAGCGTTGAATTAATTTCCAAATAACTTAATGATATTCTCTGCCAAATATCTTCTAAATATCAACTAAGCTAGTGCTGAGCTTCAGTTGTCACTTTGTTCTCCTTTCGATGATAACACACAGATTTGTTATTCCTGAATTCAGCTTGTTCTAGGCGGTTTCCTTCATCCACAGCATACTTTACTCTCTCCAGCATGACGCTGTCTGATATTTTCATAGTTTTTGAAGAGGTCCAAGTCGCTCTTCTTTGTTGTTAGACCAGTCCACAGATACCTCTCTTTCCTTCCAATCTTCTTAAGATAGTGGGGTCAGGATATCCGATGTGGAGCCAGGATCTGTTTCCAGTGCTTCCATGAAAATTTCGTCTGGTCCCGCTGTCTGGGAGGCCTCTGAAGTGACCAGCGCTTTGTTTCTGTTATCTTGCAGTTAACTGACTTATGTGCTATTGTTTAACAGGTATCTCCTCAGAATTTATCATTCCTACCTACTTTTTAGTTCAGTGTCCAGCTGATCACAGCCTCTCAGTTACCAACGATAAAAACAAGTTTTAGAAACTCTACTTCTGCAGAGGTAGATACCTGGATCACTTGAATTTGTTCAAAATGATCTGGAACTGTGGTACGCTCAACTGCAGGACTATTTTGACCGCCGTAGCACTATTTAAAACCCTAGGTATCAGGGCTCGTGTTTACAATTACTTCATAAGATTTGCAGAGATATTCAGGAAATTATACTTCGAAAACTATCCCAGCAGCCATATCCACATGAGTTAGTACAACCTCACTCTATTCCTCAGAATCAAGGCCTACCACGGTTGCTTCAAACGGAATCATGGGAGAGAGATCTCCATCACAGTTAATGAGCCAGTCGCAATAGTTCTCAGGCGATAGCACGATGGAAGAGGGCGTGAAAACAAGAGCAATAATTACCATCCAGAACTTTAATACTTATCTTCAAGGCTCCATAATGATCGCTAAAACTGCATCAATCCTTGCACCTCACAGTACTGCAGTGTGTAGGAAGATGTGTCTTAAACAGCCAACCACTCCTAATCACTTAAGTTTGTGCTGATGTCATCTAGGCTTTCGAGTGGCGATCAGAAATTTCAAAATTTATGGACGGTTTGTCGAGGGAACTGATCTTTCTCAAGACGCCCATATATAAACAACTTATCGCTGACCTGGATATAAACAAACAAGAACGCCACGTGGTGTCGTCATTCTGTGGCATAGTCGAAGTCATGATGACTGTGAACCAGGAATTCAAGATGGATGTCTGCTTATACGCGTATTATAAATGATGGAGTGGTGAAAGTTATTTTGTTTTTGTCAGCTTGGTCGAGCATAGAAAGCTCCTGGATTCGGTTATGCTTTCTCCTTCTCAGGAAGCATATTTTCATTACAGTTCTGAATTCGTGGGTTCATGAACTACGAAAATGTCTTAAAATTTCATTTTATGCTTATTCCTATCTGTGTAGAATACACCAGTTTTACAGGCATAGGTAAGTATTGTCTAAATTACACAATTTTGGTTTATGGTGAAACTACATGGTTTCTGTCTATTCTGTCTTTAATTTGTGCAAACAGTCTGCTAACTAATCACTCAGTGGAGCACATCAAGAAATATAGAAATATTGTCCTCTCATGTACAGTGAATTAACTGGCAGATTTCTACAAACCCCAGCATTGTGCCTGCAGATATTGCAGAAACATTGCGACGAACTACGGGTATATTGAAAAACGTAGCGATGAAGTTTGGATATACTCTGGAAATTGTAAGGTGAACTTAGGGTAGCTTTTTAAGAAGTAAACCCCACGAAATTGTGTTTCCGCAAACAGACTGCTTAGAAGGCTGGCTCTTGATCCTCAAGGACTATATTACACTGGGCAATAAATGGATATCAGCGAAAACACATACAAAAACCTTACAAATTTTGAAAGTCATGAGTTAATAACTTAAAATATTGTCGAAACAGCACTATTTCCCTAAAAATACATAATTACTCCACTCGATCCTTCAATTATTTGAACCTGGAAGTTACTTATGCTCTTGAGATAAATTCAACAAAGAAACAGGCGCGCTACTACTTCTAGAACCTTCAACTTAGTAAAACTTCTCAGGACAAGTTTAAGTTCGACGGGGGACACCTCCTACTCACTCCAAAACAAAGAAATTAACAATAAGTCTGCCACCACCTGCGGTCTTTTCAGTTAGTGGTTTGCGGGTTTTAGCCCAGAAACACGCATCCCTGCTGAAACTACATCCCTTGCCAGCTCCCATCTCAGGAGTATAGTATTCGCCAGCCAGTCAATACAGCAGGCAATTAGAAGTCACAACCTTCTAGTGGCACGGGACCGGATGACCTTACTCTCGATAATTTCAAAACGAGCGGCGGTGACATTCCTCTCCTATTTCTTAAGTTCTCAATAACTTTGAACACTGGCACCTACTGTAGTGATTAGAAAACCAGGTTCACAATTCCTCACTACGAATCCGGAGATAAAGGAAACTTCCGCGATTACAGACCTATAAATATAACCCTAGTTGTCTCCAGATCATTAGGAAAGTTGTCTAGGATCAATTTTCAGAATATCTACTAAGGAAGATCTTGCAAAACTGATCTCAGAACTGATTTCTCAAAAACAGATCCGGAGTTACTTTTCACTTTAACATTTCAACAGCATCACAAATATTGCTATAAAAGACTTGTATTTTTCAATGGATGAAAAACTAAACGATATCGTCTTAACTGAAGCCTCACTGTTTATTGATGCTAACAGATTTATGAAAGTAGCGATATTAAATCAGAATTTGAAAATCTCATCTTATACATATCGTCTCAACCATCGTTCACCAGCATGGGTTAGTTTTTACGTTGTTATTAAGTTGACCAATTGTTGAAGATAACAAAATCAAGTGTAGATTGTCGGGTTTGATTAGTGCATAAAATTATTATAACAATGTATATTTTCATATAAACATATAAATGTACATGAGAATGCATGCCATTTTTACAGGCACGATCAAAAAAGCAGCGTGCGCTTATATAATGAAGGTGTCTATCGCATGAGTGTTGACTGTGTCATTTCATGGGGAGGTGAGACAAATAATTTTTTAGCCCATCATTCCTATTCAGACAACTTGGATTCCTCTTGCTATGAAGTTCTTTTGATATCAGACGTTCCTCGTGATTTCTGGAATTTCCCTGGGTGATTTCAATACTATCATCAACGAAATCAAGACTGACATTGTGTGGACAAAAACGTATTCCAAAGACATGGGCCTCAACGGTTGTCGTTCCGCATAGACCGGGGATGTCGGACAATATCAGAAGAGCGCTCAATAAACTCAACGTCAGAGTTTTCTTCACAAACATCAGACACAGTGCAAAACACTCTTATCCATATAAAAGACCAAATCCCTAAATATTCTTCATTACTATTGTTATTATTAATCATGTCTACAAATAAAATGCTTGGAGTGTGATGCGATATGCATCGGAAAAATATGGTAATCAGAACAAACGAACACCGTTGAGCGTCAGTTTGACCATCAAGAAATCCAAATGAAGTAGAAAAAACTGAAAAATTGTTAGCCATAGAATCAGTTCACAAAACTCATTTTGATAATATTGACCTTTTGCGGTAAAGGCTACAGATTACAGTGTATTTACGGCTATTATTAAGAGCTTAATTTTTCTTCTTTAAGTAAGACTTTCCAACTGTTTTCTTTTAATTTGAGATTAAAATTTGGTGTAATAACAAGAAAAGAGAAGTCATTTCTCTGCGGGACTGCCTGTGAAGATGAAGTAGATTGGCACTCACCTTTCTAGGAGTGAAGATTTTATGTTTTAACTTGTGTTCTCTTTTGCATTAACAAACAAGCTCAAAAACGTGTACTGATACATCCGGGTAAAAGCGCAACAAGATAATGTTGACGTTCGCACTAGAAAAAACAGGTCCCAGTATAAGCTAAGAAAGAAGGAGTGAGACAAGGCCACAAATCGAATGTTATTATCGTTGGTGTAAATTTCTTTGTGCCTACGCTTGGTTGGTCAGATACGTCGTACGTTTGCCAGTAATCTACATTCCACCTATATTATAAAATCTTCTGACAAGTTCAAAGTCGGTCTCATATACAACTGGAAATGTAACAAATATGGTGTACTAACCGGTGAATTTGAAGTTTTATAGACTTTCAAACACCTTATGAATGATTTACTGATATGTATTTTTTATTCCGTATCTCTTATGTATCACGTCAGCA